ATTCCTGCTGCACTCAGCGAATTTGCTGTGTGTTCAGCACTTTTAACAGTGAAGCAATATTTTGTTAGGAGGGATATAAATCCCCGAAGTAGAATTTGTAATGTGAAAGCAAAAGGAAAGAGGGACTGTAAGACGACTGTTTGGGTCATTTAAGTAAACCATATCACAGGAAGCCACAGTATTTCAGACTTGAGGGTAAATGGGGACATTATTCTGTCTTGGAATGTAAATACATTTTGCCAACAAACTACAAAATGCAAGATATGCTCCTGTTCTGATGACAAAATATATCTGCCACACAACTTTCTATGCTTAATGTTAACATCTCTTCATACCTTATCTTTTTTTCTTGCCTATTTTGACATCGATAATGTAAAGACAGGCTTACTTCTGGAACAAGTGTGACCATTTGTTTCCTCCCAGCTAAGACAGCACTTGTTTAATTGGAAGGAAAAACGTCATTAACGTGGCTAACTGGCTTCTGCTGCTGAAGTCTGTGCCAGAACTGTCAGGGTGGTGCTTCTCGTGGACTTTCTCATGGATTCAACTAACCTGACTTTAACATAAATAAAGACCAGGGAATGAGGTTGGTTCCCTTAGCCATGGTCTACCTTAAATCTCCTGCTGGAGGCAGTGAACTCTTGAAAAAGGTGGAGGTTGCAGGATGGCAGGGTGTGGAATCCTTGATCTGTCAAGGGCATGTTTATACTTGGGAATAGGCCAGGGATGTTTGGGTGTGAATGTGAGTTCCTCCCCTGTTCTGCTTTATCCAGTTTTAAAAGGTGGATAACCCTGAGTGTTTCTTGAACTGTAAAGTTCTAGTTCAAACAGACCAGCAAACAAAAAACCTGGTGTGTTCCAAGTTGGCATTAATCTCTGTTTGCCTGAGTTAGTCCATGCCCTGTGGGAGGAGTAGTTCAGGGCTGGTAATAACCCCTGCAGTACAGCCTCTTCCCTGGTCCAACAGCTGTGGCACATCAGCCTCATGTTCTGCTTTGTGCTGACTTTCCTTGATCAAAAATTCTCCTGAAAGCTTTCGGAATTTGTCAGAACTGTTTTCCAACACGGAAGTGTTTCCCTTATATTTTTTGGCTAATGCTGTTTTCAGTATGGCAGGGACAGCAAAACAAACCAGTTATAGGAAACACTGAACCAGAAAAAGAGTGTTTAAATTACAGTGGTGACTTCTTTTTTTCATGTAGCTCTCCCTAGCTTAAAGCTCATGTGTGAACTGATGATTAATCACAGATGCAAAGGAGACTTTGTGCTTTGACAGCACCTTTCCCAAAGGATGTTCTCAAAGCAGAATGAGTTCCTTCATCATTACCCCACATATTTTGCAGATGAGATTGCTGAGGTGCAAAAACACCACAAGAGTATGCAGAAGTCCGTGGCAAGGATAAAACCCAGGTTTCTTGAATGTAAGATTTGTCTGAAGGTTCCTTCTCTTTGCTGGTTGCAGCAAAAGAGTAAATTTGAAGGCAGAGCACGAAAGAAGGAATAAATAAAGATGCAGCTTTTGTATCTTTATGTTCCTTGGACATTCTTCACCTTAGGTTTTTGTGACTAAACTTGCAGCACAGTAAGCTTGGGATTAATCAAGGTTTATTTTAAACCATCCCTCATTATCTCTGTCACTTGTATGGTGAGTTTTAGAAGGTGCTATTTTTATCTGATAGGAGGCGATACACCTCTGTTGTCAGCAACTAGCTTGGCCAGAATGAATTCATCATTATAATTACCTGCCTCAGGACTCCTTTTTGACTTGCTTTGCCTTTCTGGCTAATGAGATGCGTTACCTCAGCACAGCTTTGTAACGTGCCCGCTGATGATTTACAGTTGCTTGAGGCTAGACAATTCCTGCCTGACAGCAGTCCCTCAGCTTCGCCTGTAAAAGCTGTACGGCGGCCAAACCACACGTTTGCACAGAGAAAACAGGCAAATGAATAGGATAGAAACGGATAGGATAACAACTGCTGCTGGTCCTGCTTAGAATGGTGTCTAGAGGACATGGTCTTCTCTAGCTACTGCTATGGGAAGGGAGAAGGCTTACGTATAGGACAAATGCACAGCAAAATGCTCCAATGTCCTCAAAACTGCCAAAATGCCCAGCTTGCTAACCAGCCGTTTTGGCTGCGGTAAGAGGGCAGAGTGGTGAATTAAGCCATTGGGGCAGGTGTCACATATCTGAGAAAAGAGATTCATAGTTTTGGAAGTCAAAGCAAAGATTCCCAAAATCAAATCTTCAAGATTTCCAGCTTTCCTTAATACTAAGGACTGTTTTCACTGATCCCTAAACGAGGAGGGAGGAGGATTTGGAGGACAGTTTCCTCAAAGGGGAAGCACTTCAGCAGTTCTCTCCTTAATTATGTTTTTCTTTCCCAAAGGCATTAGCAGATAGTGGCAGCTGTAGCGGTAAAAATCAGTTTTGGCAAGGTTAGGATGATAAAGAAGGGAGTAGTTTTACCTCAGACTCTTCTGTTACTAATAACCCTACAGTACACTCTTGTCTGTCACTGTTTCAATCCCGTTGGGCTCTTTTTAGGATAGAACTGGGCAATTCCAAGGGACCAGAGACATGTCTGCCTTTGATCAAAGCAGGACAGTGCCATGAGGTTTGCCATCCAGCAAGCCAGCCACTAATACACAGTGAATACTGAGTCTCAGGGCTTTTATGCTAAATAAATGTCAAGTCAGGATTAAAGCGATTCTGTCCTAAGCAATAAGAATTGGTTAGTGCTGAGAAAGTCGGTAGCTACTTTGCTGAGGGTAAAATGCTTAATAAATGTACATGTTTAGTTTATTCTACAGTTGGCAGCATAGCCACTGTTCTTATGCAGCATAGCTGACCTTCTGTAGGTTGCAAGGAATTAAGTGAAACAAGTTATAAGTCAGCCTAATAAATGGCCTTAATTTTCTAAAGAATTGAATTGAGATTTCTTGAATTCAGAAAAATGCATAATCAAACTTGCTGAAAAATTTCTAGGCAGAAACTTAGAGAAAATGGATGCCTCCTGGTTTTTGCATCTCATCAATAAGCTTGCGCTTAACTGAAATCTTTGTTTTAATTTTTTCAGTGTAACTAGAGTTTTAACACAATCCTTATAGCGACCAGGTTTATGCAGAATGTCCTTTTACTTTCGGTGGAGCTGGAGAGGGTGTGGGGAGGGAGAAGAGACTTTGCAAACTACTGGAGAATTTTTCCTCCTTTCAGGCTTACAGTGCACAGAGCACAAACACACACATTATGCTAAGTAAATTATGCTAATGGTCATTTAGGCAGGTCAGATCCTACAGTTAAAGTACATAGCATTTATTCTGACCTAGGATCTTGGGCTTTCCAACAGCCTTGAGTGCAGCTCTGCAGTGTGGTGCATCTCCTGTGGTGCATCTCCTGTGGCCCAAGCCAGCTAGCTGAGGCATCTCTGCGTGGTGCTGTAATGTTTCATGCAGACACACACTAAAATGTGATCTCCTCTGTGCTGTCACATCAATAGGCTATTTATCAGGTGTTCACTAAGTGCCTTGGAGGGTATCTAAATGCTACTGTGGAAAGGTAAACTGTACTGCCCCTGAAAAGTTCACTCTATGTAGAGTATAGGGAAAGGAGAAAAGGAGTAAAAAGATGAGAGTTCTCAACAAAACCCACATAATTGCTCCAACAAAGATCCTATCTCTACCTGTGCAGCATGTGCAATTTTCTCATTTTATCATCCTGCACACCCTACAAAGCATAATTGTGGAAAAGCTGAGCAAACCAACCTCTTTATAACTTGACTTGGAATGATTTCACAGATCTATTGCTCAGTAGGTAAAAAAAATCCACTTATTCTTATGAAGGAAAAGGAAATTATAACAAGGAAATAAAAGCATTAGAAGATGACTTCCAAAGCCTGATATAAAAAAGACTGAGTTGGGGGTGAGGCAGGAAAAAAGCCTGAAACAGACTGTCTTGCCAATCTAAATTAGGAGATGAAAGTTTAAAAGAGTCAGGAACTTCCTGACAGAAACATCATCTACTCACATAACTTGGATATAAATACTATGCTCCAAACTCTAAAGATAAGGTGGATGCTAATAGCTGGAGCTGTTGAGCTGGAAATGGAGTGATTGTAGGAACTTGGTTTTGGCCCTGCAATAAGGGGTCTGGAAGGCCAGGATAATTTCCTTCCTACTTCAGGTACCTTCCCTAACTCTTTTCAGCCACCAAGGCACTGTGTGCCACCAGGGTAGCTGGCAGGTACCCTGTGAAAGTAAAATAAGGGAGTAACAGGAGATGGGGAGAGCCTGAGAGGGACAGTAGGAATATGGGGGATCCGCATAATGCAATGCCTCTCACTGGAGCTTTGGAAGCTCTCAGCTGCTGCAACAATGGCTGCACCATGGAGCTCTTGCAGCTCCTACCTTCAATCAAGAAATTTAGCTGCAGATAAACATCAACTGCACTCTTATAAACTTTAGGTTTGGTATCAAAACATCCGTCATTATCATCATCATCTTGTTCCCTCACTCTTCCAAGTATGGCCCTTGTCTCATTAATCATTGCTTTCTCTTTGTAGTTCAGACCCAATGGGACTTCTGCTGCAAGGCAGTACATGATTTTTAATTAAACAAAAATTACTTGGGCAGATGATGTAACTGTTCATTAATTTGTGGGAGAGTTAATCTTACCACAGCAGCTCTCTTTTCAGCATATAATGCAAGACTGCCATAGGCCAGATGTGCTTCAGCCTCCCTGGGGAGCCTGTAAGGACACGAGATCACATACTTCCCTGCACCTTTAGCAGCTGTATCTCAGTTCTGAATTAAGCAAGTTGTTAAGAACCAGACCTTTCTTTTCCTCCCACAGCAGTAAAGTTACAGCAGTAACTTTATATAGTTAAGATACAGGAAGTGTATATGTGTGTATATATATAGTCCACAGGCTATCACTACGCATTATTGGCCGTCAACACAAGTGACCTGCCTGTGAGCTATGACATGAAAGCAAAGGCACGCACCTTGTTACTCAAAGCTGAACCATCAATGCCTCTCTGCATGGAGGGTGGCACCTGGTAAACATCTTGTCCCACTAGACCGTGACCAGTGGGTATTTGGTAAATTCCCTGATTCAGGTGGGAAGGTGGCACTTGGTAGACAGGGTCTCGTGCTGAGGCATGTGAGCTTGGCACTTGGTAGATCTTTTGCTGGTTGAAGGACTGATGCATCAATCCTGAATTGGACATATCTTGGCCAGGAGGACTGTCCTGTACCACTGGACCTATCAGGAGTTTCACACGGTTGCCTGGAACGATGCCTTGCCGGCCATGTAAGGAGCAGAGCCACCATCCTTCAAAACCTTCAGTATTCTGTTCTATCACCGTCAGAATGTCTCCTTTGCGGAAGGCCAACTCTTCTGCACATTCAGGGACATTATCATACAGGGCTCTTGCCATAAGATTCTGTGGAGAAAGAAGGGCAAGAAAAACAAATGAACAATCAAGCTAGAATTCCTCTAAAACTTCAAGCACATTCTAGATGGAGAGAAGAACTGAATTTTAAAAAGAAGCGTGCAGGAAATTAAAATAACATAGGAAATAATGCAGCACAGGATTCCTCTGTTTGGAGAAATGAGGGCTTATGCATTAGCAGCAATGCTAGCGAGAACTTTTCTAGTAATACTAGGTCAGAGAGAAGCTCTTCATAGGATCTGCTCATCTGGACAAGGTCAGGAGACTTCTATTCTTGGCACTGAGATGCTCTTTCTGTGACTGGGGACTTGTACCTTAATCTTTTGATGTTGGTGTCCCTCTTAATGTGCCCTGTGTGCTGCTACAGCTAGCTAGCTGATATTTAAAATAAAACTTGAACAAGGCTCTCAGGGACATAATCCAGGGCAGTTGCTTCCAAACACTTTTACATCTGCAGTGTCCCCAGAGACTTTCCAGTAGAGGTGCAGATCCCTTTAGTGTGAAGACAGAGGGCTGGCTTTTCTTAGCTGCCACCTGCAGGCTTCTTAAAGGCAGGGATCTGTAGACTACCTGGTGAGAAACACTGGCTTAAAATATAAATTGACAAAATGTCCCATTTTTTTTCACTACGATCTTCACGTTGGTATGTAGCTCTGCCTTCTCAATCTATCTGTAAACTTCCTTGGTGACGCAGCACAACACAGCACTAGCTTAATAGGTAAAAAGCTTCCTCCCCGTTTCCTCAAAACCACTACCACCAACAAAACAGGGTGTATGAGATCAGTTTTCTCTTCTCTGAATAGGGAATCAGTTTTCAAATGTATGAGAAATGCTTGCTTTCATTTTCATCAGCTTAATTTATACTGACCTCACTAATGATGCTTCGGTTTGGAAAAGCAGGACTGACATTTCAAACTCCCATGTAAAAAGCAGCACTAGGGCCCATCATTCTCTCTGATGTAAGTCTATCCACCTCATCAGCCAACAATATTAAGAAATCCTAATAGGGACAAAGCAGGGAACAATCCTGTCCAGACCTTGGCAGAACTGTGAAACTATTCTTTAGTATGGTCAAAAACAGTGGTCTCTTCATAAGCACTACATCTATGTTCTTGCCATGTTGACCTGGCTGCTCAGCTGAGCCCAAGGAGCTCTGAAAAGAAAAGATGCTGTTTAGCCTGAATATTCAAATTAATCTCTTACCTTTCTACATTTCTTTCTAATGAGTCTTTCACAGTCAAAATCTATGAACCTGATACCTCAGCCCGTGCAACTGACTATTTAAAGGAGACTTTTGCAGATGATGTTGTTTAAAGAAGGGGGAAGATGGGGGGGGGGGGGGGGAGGGCACAAAACAAGCAGGTTAATCATGACAAATGCTTATTCTTCTGTACTTGATGACCAAAGGTATTTGAAAAATCTGATTAGCTTCTACAGCAAAGCATTTCTCAGAACAAAGCTGGAATGGTAGTAGAATTAGAGCAGATAAAAGTTCCCATGTGATTTTTTTTTTTTTTTTCCAGTTGCTCATTATCTCTGTCCCAGTGACCTTCTCACCACCTGGCGTGCAGCATGTTATCTGGATGTGCTTCAAGAACTTCTTTGCTGCAAATAGCTTCAGATTCTCATTGTCAGTGTTAACTCAGGCACTAGCATGTGAATTACACTAATTGGTTGCCACTTGTTTCGCAGCAATTTCCCCTAGGTCTTATAAATAGCCCAGAGCCATGCCACCAGCATCACTCACTGATGGAACAGTGAAGCAAGCAAAATATTCCTCCAAATAAGCACTGGGACCAGAAAACACTAACCCTGTTGCTTGTTGCTAGCAACATAGACACTGTTCCTGCTAAGCAAACCTTCTGCATCCTGATTATTTCTCTGACTTCATTCTTCCTTCACCAGATTTCTTAATATGAGCTTCAAGAACAGTGTCACGTTGCTTTCACTAGTCAGCTGAGTCAGTCTTGAGAAAAATGAAACTATCACCACAGAAGGTCATCAGGAAAACTTTTGAAAACCACAGAGGTACCTCTAACCTGCTTTTGATCAAAATGGTAGTCTTTACTTTTTCCCCACACAGAAAGAACTCCTGGTCAAAGACATCCCCCAACACTTCTGGGCTTTATCTCGATCAATTTCACAAATTCCAATAGCTTTTGGATACTGCGGGCATCATAGCTCAAGTCTCTCAACACTCACTCTCATTGGTCTCATCAGCTGGGGAGGGTTGCTGGGAATTAATTGGACTTGCTCTTGGAGGCATGGTTCTGTCACTCATCTGTCTGAAACAGGCACCAAAGAAGCACTAACATCTTATATGAGAAGGCATGGATACAGCAGTGACCTTTTTCTATCTCTGAATGCTAAAAAACCCCCTTGTCTATTTCCTAAACAAATTGGCAGTCGTTCAGTTAATAAGTGTTTCTCCACAACTAATCGTTGACTGGAAGGATTGAGTTCAGCTTTTGTATCCTCTAGCCTTGCTAGTAACACTGGGACGTTTGGAAGTTGAAGCCGGGTCAGGTCCCCACTGTGTTAACACTCTGTACAGGCTAAACAAAAAACCCCATTTGTTCTCAAGAAGCTTAAATTCCTCTTAACCTTGGACTCTTGAGTGCAGTAGAAAGCATCTTCTGTAAAAATCACACTTAAAAAAGGAAGTTTTTCAGTCTCCTGTTAAATAAAGTACTACCCCAGTCATCAGCAGGTCAAAGAGAAAGGGAGCCTGACCCTAATGACTGCCGCCTGGGGATTTCAGCTGGAACATGCTGCAGGAAAAGGCTCAGCAGACTTCACTGATGCCTTGTGTCAGAAACTCTCTAGAAAAACTAAAACTGAAATGGATACCCTCTAGATTAAATGCAGATTACAGTGCCCACGGTCCAACCTTTCTATGTTGGTTGAGACAAAAAATAAAGCTTTCAAGCTCTCTCAGGGTAAAGTGAACTGGTATTTGAAAATTCGATCTGAATTTTTCATTAACGCCAGCTGCAAGTCTATTAGATAAACCCTGGAAAGGAGTAATTCATATTCTCTGCACACCTTAGATTTTTCTCTCTTTTGTGTCCAGGATGCACGTCCTAGTAAAACCTGACTAAAAGCAAAAGATGTTGCCCTGAAAGCTGTCAGCTGTTCCACTTGGACAAGCTAAGGCAAAAAAAGTTAAGACTCTGTAAACTATTTGTCTTCTCAGACGCTGAAGGGATTACAGGCTATAAATGAGGTCTGTTACAGAACAGGTAAAGGTGTCTCCTCTCTCCTTAACCAACTGCAAATGACAGTTAACAAGCCTGCAGCTAAATAAAGATGCATGAAAATACTTTGAAAAACATGATCTGTTTTGGTTGACCTTCCCTGCAGCTGTTGAGATATATTAGTTGTTTAAGTAATTAAAACTTACACCATATTATAACTCTAGCTTAGATAAGTGATTTATGCTTTTTGCTTAGCTTTACTTAGCATCAGTAGCTAGATTTGGTGAAGCCTTTAGGTTGCAACAGACTTAATTTTCTATGTAATTTTCCTAGCAGCTGGTACAGTGCTGTGTTTAGTATTTTAGTATAAGAAAAATGTTGATAATACACTGATGTTTCTGTAGCGTTTTCCCTAAGTCTGGGATCTTTCAGTTCCCTATGTTCTGCCAGTGAGCACAGGTGCACAAGAAGAGTAAACCAGAAGGAGGCTACTGTCAGCAGAGACTGCAAGTCAACAAGATAAGAGCAGTCAGTGCCCTGCCTGGCTGGACACAGAAAAAAGAATCTAATAAGATGTTAGAAGCCCCCAGACTAAAACCCACCATTGCATAAGACATGTGAACAGCACGTGAGGGGTGGGTGTATAAATCGCAAGGGTATAGTTGCCCAGGCATTTCTTTGTTTGAGGTCCCTCCCCTTCCAGAGGCACCTAGCCCAATGACATTAATTATTTTTATAAAATCTGACTCCCAAGGCTCTGCTGTAGGAAACCTAGGCTCAAGGCCTAAAGAAGGAGGAAATGCACCCCAGAGTGTGAGTGTGTAAGGACTCAAAAGGGGCACCCATCAGCCTACTGGGGTTACCCACTGTGAAGAGGCCATGGTCCTAGAAATTAAAGACTCGGCTGGTGTGTGTGCATGAATCCTTGAATGGCATGTGAATGCTCAGGCAGCAGCTTCTCCTTTAAGCTAAGGGAACTGATAGAATTCTGTAATTTGTGGTTTGGAGGATGAAAAGGCTGTTTGTTGATGAGGCTGAGTGGCAGAAGAGGCAAGAGTTAAAGAGAGTGGTGGAAACATCTACTCTTTCTGTTAGAGTAAACACATCCAGTGACACGGGTAACAAGAGAGTGTGAGGTGCCCACAGCCATGGAAGCAAACACAGGAATAATAAATGACACGCTACGAGATTAAATACAATGCACTCTTTAAGGGCTGAGTGTCGCGGTGCCAAGCTCCTGGGGCAGCGCTGCCCATGGGACTCCTCAGCCAGCTCTGAGATGAATGAACGCTCGAGGAAAAGGTTCAACCAACCATAAGCTCGAAGAATTTCAGTCTCTTCCCTCAGAGGTGCAATATGAGGATGTTCCCCAGCACGCAGCCTTGTGGATGCTGATCCCTGCTCTGTGCTTGGCTGGCCAGGCTTCTTGTTTTGTTCTGCATTGCCTTGTTTTTAAATATTGCTTCCTATGCATAAAGTTTACGTGAAAACAAACCCTGGGAAATTGCCTCTGCCCTTAGACTGAAAAAGGGTGGGACCCCTTCTTTCTATTACTGGACGAACGGTTTCTTGAAATGCAAAATGGCTTCCCTTCTAACTTTAGCTCAGGGGAAGGAAGGAAGAAAGGAACAAAGGAAGGAAAGGTGGGGGGGGAGACACCCCAAAGGAGTGTCTATGTACAAACCACTAGCTTCACTTTGGCTGGATTTCTTTTAATTATCCATCACACAACATTCTTCATAAAGATTCTCCTTTTGGTTTTCCTTACGCTTTTTTTTTTCTGCTTTAGGTTTC